GATAGACATGCAAAAAGAAACAAACAGCTAGAACATGCTTCTCTGAGATACTCTGCTGGGTTCGAGGAGGAACTAAGTGGAACTGCAGGTACGCCGAGCACGGGGACTCGGATCCAGAGCTCCCAACAGTGCTGACAGCTTCAAGACCAAACAAGAGCACTCAGGGGAGTAGAAGTAATCCCCGTACTAACTGCTCTGCTTATAGGGAAATGTACATCCTTCATCAGTGTGCCCCGGCCAGACTGACACTGAGGTTGTGCTGGAAACTCAGACTGGGCTCTCTCTGCACATTTAACCACACAAGTTTCATCTCCCCCTTTCAGCCAGCAGTTTGTCAGCATCACTCTGTTGCAAAAACAGCCTCCGAGGTCTTTCTTACTCAGTCCAGCCTCATTTTCCTCCCCAAGAAAAGAGAATTAAAACTAGTGCTTCTTGTCCACAGAGTTGCCCTATCCCAGTTCACACACCCTGTCAGGATAGAAGCAACAGGGCAGAGGGGAACACGTGCGATTGAAGCAAAGGAAGACCAGGAAGGTAAAGGTAGTGTCTGTCCTTCCACTGCACCCTTCTTCCATGTACAAAGCCTTCAGCCCTTCCACCACCCCCACGTTCTGCCTCTGCACCCAGGGTGAACCCCACCAGCAAGTTTTCATATTGCCTTGAAGTTCGAGAGATCTGCAAAGCAGCTCTCGATGCAACTCCGTAAAGAGGTGTGCATCAAACAGAATGTCCGCACGCTGGTTGTTAATTTAACAGGTTGCAGAAAAGCTGCTGATTTTATGACCACATTACCAATTCAAGAGGACACCAATAAAAGTTTTATTTTGCAGCACGGAGCGCAAGCTATGTCATGATGCTTCTGGTTTTGTTTGCTGTCTGATATCCTGGGTATTCTCTTTCAAAGCATCAAACCTACCACCTTGGGGATGCTCCTCCATGAGCTACTGTGGGTGTGTGGGTTTCCAGAATTTATAATTCTGACAGAAAATAGTAACACAGGCAAGACCTGGAAGGAGACAGCATTCTGCACTCTGCAATACCGGGCTCTGAGTATATAGAAAATATCTGTCTAAAGGCAGTCTTTTGGGCAAGAATATTTATGAGTTCAGAAACATAACACCATTGTAACACTGGAAAGAGTTTGGCTGGTTTAACTTCCTCACCAACCAACTCAGACCCAAATAACTTATACACAAATTACTAAGGAATCTGAGCACGCCTTTCTGAGAAAGTAGAGGAACCTGAAATCAGAAAAAAATCTCAGACACCCCCAGATTTAATGTAGCTGTTACACAGGACCACATCAATTAACTTTTCAGTCCAGGACCCTACAAAGGATAATGACCAGCACCACATTCACGCCATGATGGGAGAAACAGGGAATAATCAAGCACAAATTCCTCTCCCTGAGCACTTCTTGCTCTCCTTTCTTCACTCCAGTCCTCCTTCCCAAGCATTTCCAGGGATGGAGTTGGACGTTGCCAGGTACGGCAGCATCAAAACCACATGTAGACACGACCCAGAAGATAAGCAGCACACAGGGGAGTTTTTCTCCTAACCTCTGCAGTAAGAGATTGCCTTTACACCTCAAAGCAGAGAGCTTTCCATGTCCCTACTTAAGTTAAATGTAAATATTTAATGTAAACTAGGTATTATTACGTGTCCACAAAGATTTCTTAACACTTCAGAAAACCTACTGAGCTCATACTCTCTGCAGCACCTTGAAGCCATAGGGTCTAAAAAATACAAAGATTTCCACTCTTTTCATTTTAAATTGATTGGCTTCAAATGTTTCAGCCAGAGCTGTCTCTTTGGGCACAAAAAAAAAAAAGAAAAAGTCCATGATTTAATTTCTCTCCACTGTTTGTTCATTTGCACAAGTGTCTCCAAATCATCTCCTCTTCAAATTTGACCAGTCTTTCTGTTTACCAAAAGACTTTCTTTGTCTGAAACCACTGTCATTGCCTTTCTAAAGACCTCATTTCCTGACTCTCACCCAGGATCTACCCACAGACAAGGGTAAACATCGTGACGAACTCGTGGTCGAGCAATGACATCCTGATTTCCCACCGCTTAATTCCAAGTTGGCAAAGCTGATTTTGAGGCTCCCCAGCAAAAGTTTGTTTGTTTTAGCAGATATGTTTAATGGATTGTCACAGGGGGAGTCAATGCAGTTCTTGGGATATCTCATGGGTGGCCTGGCCTACGACATCCCGGGTACCAGCTACACTTCCAAAATATCACACTGTCAATAGCTATAATGCATTACATCCCGCTCAAATATCATCAGAAGCTAAACTGCTGGTGAGGAATCTACAACACCGCTTTCCACAGCATTTAGAAAAAAAAAAAAAAAAAAAAGAGCTAACAAGCAAGAGCAAGCTGTGAAGCCCGAGATGCTCCTTGCTGCCTACGCGCTCGCACACGGAGGGGCTGAGAAATCACTGGAACATCCTTCAAGTTGATGAGCTCATCTGTTGCATCGATAGGAATCGCCAATAAATACCGATAGGGCTTCATTGAAATTCACTGCTCATTTATGGATGCAGTCATTTATAGTCACAGCACGGCACTGCGATTAACCCTTTCATTGAAGCAGTAATTCCAATTAATATGAACTGGCTGGACACGTACAACATGCAGATAATAAGCTCTGCTACAATAACAACATACGTTGGTCGGGAAAACCAAGCACATCTTTCATCTTCATTTAGCTTTGAAGGGGTTACATTACAGTAGCTCCTATTGCATCCCTGCTATTGAAGCCTTGCTGAAAATTAAATGCCACCAGCAGAGCTAAAGAAATATGCTCTAAAGTTTACAGGCAAACTACAGAAGCTTGTAAAGTGCCAGGGGACTTCGCTGGTTTAATTATATAGACCCTGTTCTATAAATTGCTGGAATGGAATAAATACAAATAGCATTCCCTGCTTTGTGACCTCTTTGGGTTAATGAAATGCACACAAACACCCACAGTCTGTTATGGCTCAGAAATTCCACAGCACAAACACAGAACCTCGCTGGAAGCTGTAGTCAGGATTCAAGCCTTGGTACGTGCACAAGAACCAGCTGCCTGGACCCAGCAAGGAAATAATGTGTTGTTTCTATTCCACTGCTATTCTAAGCTGCAGACGGTGGGAATTGTCCACGATTTACCCAACAGGGAGAAAGACACTGAGATTTTGTTGTTCAGGCTCTAATTAGCAAATCTGCTTCTCTTCTCATGCAAAAAAGTGTTTGAGGTAAGAGAGGCTGAGGAATTCCATCAATCACTAAGCAATCCAGCCTTGGCTTTGGGAAACACAAGATCTTGGAATGTTGCTGCTCTACCTGGTGACACTCACCCCCATGCTCTGGACATACTTGGGAATAAAGACTTGAGTGAAGAAGAGACAGCAAGAAAAGCGTTTAGGGAGCAGAATCCTTATTTGATTGCTCATTCTCTTGCATGTAAGTTATTTCTATTGCTGTGACATGAAGGAGAATTTGATCCTCCTGGAGACAAGCTACTGAGAAACCAGCCAGCTCTTGTTCACATGGTCAGCACGCAATTTTCTCATGTTTTCCTAACTTTCTCCAAGCACATCATCTCTCCTACAGCTGCCAGATGTACTGCCTGGACAGGGCATCCAACAGACACCTCCAGGAGTGTGCTGAAGTTTCATTCACTAAACATTTAATGCTACAGGTGAGAGCACAGGCTTCTGGAGGTCTTAGAGCATTGCACCACCTCAGTAGAGAAATGTTTTCAGGATTCGAGGACAGTACCTTAAAACCAACAGAGTTCTCCTCCTCCCTGGACATCGAGCTCTCTTTTCTTGCTCCCATTTCTCCCAGTTTCTCCCAGAGACTTCATAAGGCCAAGAAATACAACTGTTTTGGGGATATTTTCCTAGCTTTACTCAGGATCCTAGGCACTGTCTTATATTTACCCTCACTTGCTTTATTCAGTGGCCTTTTTTCCTCAGGTTCTGAAGTTGCAGAACAGGAAAATGTTACGCAAAGAAACGGGACTTGCAGGAACCCACACGTGGTGCACAGCAGGAGGGCTGCAGAAACAGGAACTCCTTCAGGTCCTGTTGTAGAGTCCCCTCCTGTACCAAACACCTCCAGACCCCTCCTCCTTCTCATAAATGAGACTCACACCAAGGAAACCAGTCTGATTTTAAGCACCAGTTACATTTGCCACCGGGAAGAACAAACTTCTCCCACTGACCTGTAAACTTGGGCTGTTGACACTTGAACCAACGTAAAGATGGAACTTAACAGCTCGGTGACTCCAATGTCACACCTCAGCTCTCTAATGTATCACCCCAACTGGGACAGTTGGAAGGTAACGCAGAAGAAAAACAGCACCCATCAAGCCAGAACCCAACCTGAGACCACCCAGCAAGACCAATAAAGGTATCAGACTGAGAGAAGACAGACTGTTATTGCTGCTCGTCTCTGCTGTTCACATAAATGGCACTTCACACGCACAAGGATGAGTTGCTGCTCAAAAGGGATTCCAATTTACATAAAGAGAAGATGATGACACGCAGACAAGGCAGAGGATCGCAAAGACAGTAAGGACATATATCTCAGTGAAGTAAGGATGAAACCTTGATGGTTACATAAGGTTTTACTGCCACACCATATATAACCGATAACATAAAAAGGTGAAGTGCAAGGCCAGCTGCCTTAGGTACTGCACACTGACAGTCTCTTCTCTTTACTCCTAAATTTGATATATAAGTGGGAGACCAAACGCCAAACCTTCCAAGGTAATTTTTTTAAAAGAAGAAAGGATCTTTACTTTACTTAGCCCAAACGCCAAACCTTCCAAGGTAATTTTTTAAAAGAAGAAAGGATCTTTACTTCCCTCATCAGGAACACCCTGTCACGTAGCAGGGGGACAGTGATTTTCTAAGTCAAAGCACGGAGAAAAAGCAAATATATTCTGAAACGCTGAAAACCACAAAGCCAAAGCAGCAGGTGCAGCGAGGAAGGCGCCGACCTACCTTAAAGAGCAGGCAGTCCCCTTGGTGCTCGGCGTAGATGGAGGTGAGGCGATACTGGTTCTCGGTCGTGATGTCAATCTGGTACCCCGTCAGCGTGTAGCACACCTTGCGGAACTCCTGGATCTTGGTCTGGAAAACTTCTTTCAGACGCTGGTTTTTCAATTCTGCACTTTCCACTTGCTTCTTCAGCTCTGTGTAGGGGAAGAAAATGGGTACTTCATTATACATCCGCCAGGAAAAAACCTGTGCTGCATTTACAGTGCTGGACAAAGTAAGTGAATTGGAAAGGTTAATTAAATTTTTTAAAAGTGAATTAAGCAGGCAGAGTAAAGACACAGGGAAGCTGGATCCCTCTCCTCCTGGTCCCAGCGGACCAAAAGATAATAAACTGGGGAATAAGGAAAACAGGCGTGTCTTGCTGGGATGGGTTTTTCTTTTGCTCAGCCAGCCTTTTAACAACATGCTACAAAAATTCAAAGCTAGAGCATCCTTTCCTCCCTGCCCATCTTATTTTCTCCATGGAAGCCAAGAGTGGGGTGTTACACTACCGGAAGCAAGAAAGTGGAAAAACAGTGAGAAATATGGCTCTGTGTGGCCACATCAGGGGGAAGCTGCCTATAAGGGAAATCTGCTCCAACGTACTCTTGATTTGACAGTGAGTGCTTTGATCTCAAATCGACACACTGCTTCGGAATCCCTTCAGACCCGGGAAGGGGCTTTTCTTGTGAAAAAACCCCTCTCAGCATTTGCCACCCGAACTGGACCAGTCCCTGGAAGAGCGGTCCTGGGAGACCACCTGCCACTCACCCTCTGTTTTATTGCTACAGAGGGAGCTGCCAGCCCTGTGAATCCTTCAAGAGGATACACAACAATTACCATGAATCTTTCACCCAAGGTGCCTTCCGAGTAATTAAACCTCGATTTATCCCCCCATTAATTACAGAGATTGGCTTTACTTTAATATACACTAGAGATGTCTCCCAAGTCAGCCTGTTTTATCAACACTGCAGTCTGGGGCTGGAAAAAAATACCCTGACTCTTTGTAACAGCAAACAAATAGACTTGCTCACTCAGATAACTCCTTGTCATTCTGCACTGTGATCAGAGACATAATTGCAGCACATGTAGGCCATATATCTTTATTTTAGCTCGTCCCAGGTCCGGCACCAGGATAGCACAAACTTTGGTGCAAGGTGAGTGCTTGAGTAGGAAGGAAGGATTTTGGCCAGGCTTATACAGCCCACGCTGGAGTATTGTTGTTTTCCAAACAAGCTGGAAAAGTTTTTGCTCAAGTATTTGCCAAAAAGTGTTTCCATCACCCTCCCAAGCGTGGTGCTGGAAGCACGTAGGACAGTAGCTGCGAGGCCAAGGACTTGCCTGTGATTCACCTCTGAGCAGCTGCCAGCACCAGGAGAACTCAAGTCTCCTCTTATCTCCTGTGCTGCTTTGGTTTGGTGCTCCGGGTGGGACAAAGGGATAATTCAACGTGTTAACTTAAAGTGCCTTAAAATGCCACAGAGGATGCCCCTGCTCAAAAGTATGGTGGGACAAAGGGATAATTCAACGTGTTAAGTTAAAGTGCCTTAAATGCCACAGAGGATGCCCCTGCTCAGAAGTACTTTGGCCTTAATCCAATTCAGCTTAATCCCCAGGCAAGGACAGGAACTCTTTAACGGTTAAAGAGAACTACATGTCCCTTTACTTCTGAATGAGAGCATCCACACAGGGAGAGTTAACACCAGCCAACTCCTTACCTTCGGTTCATTCAGTTCCACCTTCCTGAGCAGCTTGTGGAAACGGTGTATGAGCAAAGTATTTCCTTCACTCCGAGTCTCCCCCCAGCTTTACCTCGCTCTATCAAGGGGAACAAGCCAGTCTTGGGGAACATCACATGCTGGTTTGTTCATTAAAACACTGCTACACAGAGAAACCCCCAACTGCTGGGGGATGCAAAGTAAAAAGAACATCCAAACCCCACTTATGAGCCCGAAGGGTGGTGGGTTACATACCCCCTCTTCCCATGAGTTGGGAAAGGCCATGTCCCTCCTGACCACCCACCTTCCCATTCCTACCAAACTCACCACCACACAATTAACTCAACCCTTCCTTGGATTGTTACAACCTCTTCCCCATCATCCCAGCTGGGTCTGGGCCTCTGATTAATTAAGTAATCAGCCTCTGAAATCAGGAGGTTAATTGGCAGCTCTGACCTCAATATTCTCACAGTCTTCATTCAGCTACGGAACTATTAAGGACAAAATCCTATATATGAAAGTAAAAATTCAGTGACCACATTGCAGTGGTAAATAATATTTCACCACTGTCAGAGAGCACTGCCTTTAATATATTGCACATGTCCAACAGCGATATTTTTTTTTCCTAACAAATGCAGCCTAGCCTTGGAAAAGTAAATCTGCCTTTCCCCACCGCGTCATGGAGGCTGCCTTTCCTGACTTTTATAACCTTGGAGGTGGATGGCACCCTAATTCATGAACTCCTCCAGCAGCTTTCGTTATTCATGAAGAGTTAGCGCCTTCTCCACTGTTTTCTCTCTCCGACTTGGTGCTGCTGATGGCCACGGTGAGCACCTCGCTCCCCTTGGGCTGCAGCCTCATCACCCACCCAACGGTGCTGGCCTTGTTGGACTGCACCCTGAGCATCCAGAAGAGCAATTAAATGATGGCAACGCTTCCCTCTGCTACCCTCAGGCTGAAAAAGGGAAAAAAAAAAAAATAATATCTGACTACAATCGTCTTCTATGCGAGAAATCTTGAGTTTTTCAGTTTAACTGAAGGACTAGCAAGCCTTCACTCCTGACAGCGTGCCCTTGCCACCTCCTGGACCTCCTTCCAGCGCCTGCGGCAGTTTTGGTGCATTACTGCACCAGCTAAAGGAATTCACCTGCTTTAAAAAAACCATTATCTCCCCATTAGAGGTGCCTTGTGCCAGGCACTGAGCTCAGTAACTGCTCCTACAGATGCAGCTGAAGGCGCCAGCAGCTGAAGGGATGGGATAAAGCCTTCTCATCCCCTCCCTGGCTCCAGCAGCAACTCCCCAACAGTGTTTCTTTCCTGGCACAGCCTGGGGACAGGGCAGGAAAAAATCACAAGCAGGTACAGGGACGTGATAGGAATTAAGTTTCCACCTGTCCCCAGCAAAAGGTCTGTTGAACCCTGACTTCGGGTAAAACAGGGATTGCTCTTCCTTCACACCCCATTAAGTTGCAGACCTCAGTACTTCAGCCACAGCAGCTGCTGATGCCCACCTCCTGCGGCATTTATTTATCCCGTGGAAACAATTCAGGTTGGGGCTATTCCCAGATTATCTCAGACACAGCTCAGGACTGTGCCCACTCCCCTGCTGTACCTTGAGGGTTTTGCCAACACAACCAAGGAGCCACCTTGTGAGGAGAGTAACTTGGCAGGGAGGTAACCCAAGGCTAGAGAAACGTAGGATGGGGTCCCACCTCTGAAACAAAGCCACCTGAGACACCTTAGAGCATCCTTCACAGCTTCCCACTACAATTCTGCAGGACAGAGGTTTCCTACAGGTTCAGTGTCACACCAGCCAGTCCTGGGCCAACGTCTCTGAGACTTCAGGGTGTCTAAAGTGTCATGAGATGCCTACATTTACAGACAGGACACCTCTGTAGCCTCTCTGCACCACGGCTCTGCCCATGCATGACCCTGGCACTGCAGGTTCCCTGCACCCAGGGAACAGCACAAGCACTGGCTTGGGGACAGTAATTAATCTTTCTAATATTCTCCCCCCCACCAAAAAAGTGAAGATGTTAAGCTAAGAGGCAGCTCATTGTTTGCTCTGCATCTCAATTCAAAGAATTGATGGCACTAATTCTTAAGCCTCACCTAATACCGCTAATTCCCGCCAAATTTCTAGCACTGTCAGGAAAAAAATGGATTTAAAAGCCCCCCCCTTGCACAGAGTGCAATTCAGTGTGTTTCAGAGCAGTGCTCAAGGCCCAGCCGTGGTGGGCACTGAGCAGAGGGACATCCTTTTGGGACTGGTGGAGGAGCATTAACAGAGCAGGTCTCTGAAAACAGCGTTGCTGCTTCCACCCGTTTTATCTACCACCTGCAGAACGATGAGCATTTTGATCCTTTAAGATCTTTCACAACATTTGGAGATTTAGGTTTAATTGGATCTTTAAACGGCAGCATTTGAGCACCAGAATCCCTGTATTTAGCACTCACGTGAGGTCCCATTTTTGACTACAAGGGGCTACAAAGATGAGGGACCTGGAGCATCTCTCTTATGAGGAAAGGCTGAGGGGGGATATGATCAACACCTTAAAGGGTGGGTGTCAAGAGGATGGGGCCAGTCTTTTTTCGGTGGTGCCCAGGGACAGGACAAGGGGAAACGGGCACAAACCTGAATATAAGAAGTTCCATCTCAACATGAGGAGGAACTTCTTTGCTGTGAGGGTGGCAGAGCCCTGGCAGAGGCTGCCCAGGGAGGTGGTGGAGTCTCCTTCTCTGGAGACATTCAAACCCCACCTGGACACGTTCCTGTGGGACCTGCTCTGGGTGGACCTGCTCTGGCAGGGGGTTGGACTAGATGATCTCCAGAGGTCCCTGCCAACCCTGTATCATTCTGTGACTCTGTCACACTTTGCAGACATCAGGTGAGTGAAGGTGCTGGTGGGCTCTGCAGAAGTAAGGGATGGGGAAGAATCCCACCACAAACATCCCTTGTCCCAGGGAAGGGATGCCGAAGCATCCCTCACTGAAGTGTTAATGAAACAAATAAGAACTGAGAAAATAAGTGTAAGATTTGGCAGGCTACGCCTTGGGCAGGGATAACGACTGGCTGTTTACTTTGCCTGGAAAAAAAAAATAATAAAGGAGGAGCACAGAAAGAAAAAGAAAATATTTGGAAATCATCTGCCCTATCTCCTTTGTATTCAGGCCAGGAGTATGCCCAAAAAGTTACCTGTCCTGAAAAGTTTGATGGGGGGAAAAAAATCCTCACTGAAAAAAAAAAAACCCCAAATCATTAACCTGTTACAAAATTAATACTGCCAAATGATTAACTTCTCCCTAATGATGCTGCTTCTTGAAACACCTTGTATTTTCACACACTTATATCAACTTTAATGAATAATTCAGACTATTTTTGATAAATAAATAAAATATGAGCTGGGCTTTTTTGGTCTCATATCGAAAATGTCATT